ATTAGACTTGCCACGGTGCATCTGTGTGAGATTTTTGACAGCAAGAGATAAGCTTACATAAGCAGGATGTGGCTAAGCTGAAGCCATTCCCCAACGAGGCGGTGATCACCTTCAGCCGCTGAGAGAGGAAAGCCAGGGGTAGATGAAAACGGGCAACTCAGTGTGATTAGGTGTGTGCTTTCTGTACAATCAAGATGGCAGATGTGCCACTGTGAATTACCTTGTAATGTTAGCGAACGCTAATCCCTCAGCACATTCGTGCCCTTTGCTCCCTTTATCAAATAATGTCTGCTGATATGAGCAGAGCATGTTGTCAGAGATACCACAGACAAGGCCATGGGGAGATGAACTGTGCTATCAGCAGCCTCTTAAGTGGAGAGAAATCATGCTAATTTTGTACTGAAAGATTGTTATAGTGGTGACATTAAAATTCAACTGGAACTAACTTGCAGTTTACATGTTGTCTGACTGTACTTGAGTAAACACATTTGGCTCCATTCAGCAAACAACCATAAAGCTATGGTGTGTCTAAATATATAGACAAATATGTTCTATTGGTGTGGTTATGCACTGCCTTTGTTGATGGAGACCTTCCATCATACTAGTTTTTGCTCAAAATGATTTTAAGCACTTAAGCACAGCATCTAATAGACTGGTGTTTGAGTAACTGCTCAGATTTTGGGCAGCATACTTTATCTGAGTAGTTATTGAGCAAATGATTATTTAAAAAGTTAAAGCAAGACGATGATACTATGACTGATTATTTGGATTATATGTTTTTATTTTATGTATTTGGATTTTTTTTTATATTTGTTTTATTCGGATTACATTGTGTTGTCGTTATTGTTAAAGTAAAACCATTAAAAACGGTTTGATTAATTAAAATAACACACAATTTTAAACCAACTAAATAACCAAACAAACTTAATAAAATTAGAATTAGATATAAAATTATCAAAATATTAATGCTAATAATAGTATATAAACAATACAAAACCAACACAGCTTATATTGCATTCGTAGTGTTCGTGGGCTAAAGGTAGGGTGGAAGGTATTATTTTTAACAATTTAAGTTTCTTGACAAACTCAGCCTATGTTGTCTCTTCCAGGTCCAGATGGACAGCTCTACTGATACCCTTGCTTATTCATTTAATGCCAGAAAGAATCAACATTTTGAATGCCAATAGATGTTTTTTTCTTTTAGCTCTTTTCTCTGGTTCCGGTCCAGCATCACGCCCTCCCAGTTTGTCCCTTTATTCGGAAACTGCACTAGGAGATTTTTCTCTCAGCTGCTCCGTTGGTACTACGCACTGAATGACTTTTATGTGCTAATGACTCTGTTTAACGAAACCTTGTAAAACTCTGCACATGGTGAAGGAAGCTTAATTTAAAGGCTTGGAGATTTCTTGCTCACTAAACTGCAGAACTGACGGCTCTGTTTGGGCCTTTCTCTATACTTTCTTAATGATTCAAGCTTTTCAGTGTGCGTAGCAAGACAGATATCTGATAAACAGATTATGTGCAAAACATTAAAAATTCCTGTATGGATATATCTGTCACAGACCTCTCAACTGATACCTAATTTGCATTTAATCTCACTCAAATGAGTATGAACATTAGATCATTAGGTACAGTAAGTACTGTAATTGTTTAAGATGTAAACTGAAAATGGATCCAAGAGAACAGGTAAAGCTTTTCCAGTTCACAGTATCACCATAGCAACCCTCCTTGAGACTAAAAACTTTATAAAATGGCAATGTCATTCTTTGTATGGTAGATTGACTGCTTCGGCAGTACCAGATATTGGAAATAGTCAAATAAATACTGGAGACGACAGAACTACACAACAGCTCATAAATCTAGAGCACATTTACATGACTCATGAAGCTATATGGGCTATAAAGACTTTTTGAGACAAAAACATTTGCAAATGTATATTAGGCCGAGAAATTATCAGTCTAATGTTAATAAGTATAAGCGGGCGCTTTACATTAGCCCACCTCAAGTTGATACGTTAGCAGGTGGTTTCTCTGCTAGCCTAATGTGATGGCTAAGCAGGTCCATATGCAGTGTGCACTTGCATATGAAGGACATTTCGAAAGATCAGAGGCTCTAAGCAGCTGGGGAAAATCTCCTGCGTTTAATGTAAAGCTGCAGCACTGTTGCCAACTCTAGCAAGATACACAAGGAACCACAGCTTCAAAAACGAGCCCAATATTTTGTTGATGATTTATCATCATCAATATTATTTAGCATCAATTATTTATTACCAATAAATGAGCCTGCAACATTTTAAACTGAAACCACTCTTTTATCTGAAAAGCAAAAACTGAAGTTATTTTACAAAAATCAGCAATCTGTAACAAAGTGGGAACAAAACTCATCTCCAATCACCTGTGAGCAGAATAGGATTGGAGAGATGGAAAATTAAAACGAAGTTGCTTGTCATCAGATTTCCCTAACAAGCAACCATGTTTTTTTAAAATAAGCCCAAAAAACCGCAACCCGGAATTTTTTCACGCAACTTTACAAAAAAAGAAGCCCAGAGTCGCGTATAATACGCGGACTTGGCAACTCTGAGCTGCAGTTGCACGGAGATGAGAAAGCATCACTGTAATAAACCAGCTGAACTGCACTGCCATCTAGAGGCACGAACCAGCCACAACCACCCGGAGCATATGAGGCCTCCCTCTTGTCAGAATCACTAATTACACGTTGAATTGCCTGTCACGAGCCGCGTATTTAGTACTGACGGTGATATTAGTCTTAGTAATGAGTCTTTTTCTCAGCCTGGATGGTTTTAGTCTATCACCAGGAACATTAAGGTAATAACAAATCCTGGCAGGCTACCACTTCTCACTGCTGCCTAATCAAAGCTATCCATTCAACACACGCAGTGAGGTGTGCACTGAACGCCATAGATCTCCTCAAACACCAAACTGTGGACCGTAAGTCAGGTAAGATCAGCCTTCAGAATCTTCAGTGTGCGCAGATCTGTACAATTAATATTACACAAGTTTGGAGAAAAGATGGCAGTTTATCAAGTGTTAACCAGCGTGACTGTAATAAAGTTGATTGCAGAAAGCGTTCACGCTTAAGTGGTTGGTACAATTAGGGCCACCTTAGGAAAGATTCCCACTGAGATGTTTTCGCAACTCGACGATGAGCTCCAGGGGGACTGCTTTAAATTCTCTTATTCCGCCCCTCCAGTTAAGCATCGGGAGACTGATAACAGGAGAATTAGGAAGAAAAAAAGAAGAATCGACTACCCTTTATTAAGAATTCCTCCCTATGCCTTCTGGCAGTGTGGTGGTTCCACACTCCTCAGTCCTGCCTATTTGATTGGCGGAGCCGTTTTCCACAGCACAGGCTGTGATGCTTTTTCCTTTTGTTTTAGGGAATAGATAACTCCCATGGGTTAAGCAGACGATTGTTTTGTAGACACTCTCCTCTCTTTATAAAAACGTACTAATGCTCCATTAAGCGAATCACTAATCAAGTATTAAACAATAGTCAAGTATTTAAATGGCACGACAGGTTAAATAATAATTAATGCATTAACCACATGAAACGTTTAAATACTGAAAAGATAGCTACTATTTTTGGGATGAAAGAGCTAATGTTCATTGTTATGACATGGAGGTGACGTTTTAGGGGCTGCAGTTAGTATAAAGTATAAAGGTGAGCCTGTTTAGGATGACAGTCATAATGTTGCAAGGTTAAAACGTTAAATCTATCAGTGACACTAACGCTATTTAAATTAAACGTGCCAGGACCTTTCAGCTCTATTGAAATAAAAAGCAGATGTAACTCGTCAACCAGAAGAGGACTAAACTATCATGAGGGAAACTTAATAACAAACGACCAGCACTCCCGTCTTTTAAAGCGAATCAGTTTATATAGTTTGGTTTACAAAAAATGTCTGTATACAGTATGTCATTTTCTCCCAGTACAAACTAAGCCGTGACTCATTCAGTGAGAATGTACAACTAGATGTATTAACAGCGCAAGCAATCATTCCAACAAAATAAACATGAAACGTAACCATATGTTCTACTCACTACTGGCAGCCGCTACGGTTGAAGAGGTAGCTTCCAAAGTTAGACAATGCATCCCATTTTTGATTAGACGTGTCCTACAAAAATAATTTACAACACACTGTCATCTCTAAACGACACACACACACACACACACACACACACACACACACACACACACACACACACACACACACACACACACACACACACACACACACACACACACACAAGTTGGAATTCTGTCAGTTCTAGCTATGACCTGCAAGGCTTGTCAGTTGATGCCAGAGCTTATATGACTGGCAAAATGGCATCCACTCTGCAAACATATTAGAAGACAAAAGGATGGTGTTGACACTTGGTATCTAAGGCAAACAAACCCACATTTCCTTTCACTTGAATTCCTGAACATACATGGACAAAGGTGTACAAATGGAATCATGATGATGAAACGTTGTTATATATTCCTGAACACAAAGACACACTTTGGTCCCCTTGTCCATCCCACATGACATAGCTTAATGGCAACTTGAACATCGATATATCATACAGATATACTTGAATGTTACTGTAAAGTGTAGAGAGAAAAAAAAGGGGTTTCATAAAGTTTTAATATTAAAGACCTTGGTACTAAGAATGTAATGTTAGCGTTTGTGTAGGGATGCACAACATTCAAGATTTTTAAAATGTATTAAATTAGGATTGAACAATATTGGATATTTGTGCATGCTACTCGATCTATTTTTACATTTAGATAACTTTTGCCACCATCTAATGTTCACTAACAGTTTATCTTTTTTTAAAAACACGCTAATAATTTAGTAACATTGTTATATGTAATCTTTAGCAAATCTCAAAATGTTGTATTAGGCCTATAATGTTTGATCCTTAAATTCAGTTGAAGAGTTTAAAACAATTGATTTTCTTTTTTGGTGTTTTAATTTATTTAGTCATAATAGTATAAACATTAATATTGGCCATTTATAGTTAATCAAAATAATTAAATCAATTAATTAAAATAATCATTTTCTTATATTGGCTAGAATATTAATACTGGCGCATCCCTTTTTTGTTTCATATAGTAAGCTGTATAGTCAGATTATCTGGACAGGAAGGAGTTCTAATATGAAAACCCTTTTTTACTCTACCCAGTGTACAAAATACATATTGAAATGATCTAGTGACATTCTTGTCAGGAATAAAATAAGTATAGTTTGCCATTCATTCATCAAAGCATTTCCATATCTTACAATAAATTATTAGAAACTTACTAGTGATTAAGGAAGCGCTCTGATCAAGACATCCAAATGTCATTTTAGAACATAAATTAAAGACAATTTCTTTTAATAAACAGTTGGTAATGTACTGGCATTTCTGGATCACTCAGCTGAACGGAGGGGATTGTGGAAAGGATTGTGATTTTAGGATCACTTGCAGAATAAACAAGAAAGGAATGAATGCTTTTCAAAAATAACAGCCACTGTGAACTTACTCTGAGAAAATGGGAACACAAGACAGCGTGAACATAAACTTGTACATTACATTCTCATCGGCATACTGGAACTCCAGTATATGGAGAAACTTTGCTACATAGAACGGGATCCCCCGCCACAGTCAAGATTTATGATGGCATAAGAGAAAAAGAATCAACATCACTAAAAACAGTGGCACATATATCCCTGCTTTAAATCAAAAGGACAAATATTTGTAAGAATAAAAGGGAAAATATATTTTTCTTTTCTAAAAATGCCCAGAGAAAATAAACAGGCAAGTTCTACTTTCTTGCAAACTTAAAGGCAGGCACTGGGAGGTAAGATCACTGTGTCCATCAACTGTCAATCAGCCCTGGGTGCCAATGCAACCGAATTTGGCTGAGGGGGACAGGAAACAGAAAACAAGACGTGTTGTATGTTGACATCATTTGGCTCAGTGAGTCTTTCTGTATTGTCAGATTCCCTTTTCATGGATTCGGTCTACATTCACTCATATACACACACACACACAAACACAAGTGTGAAAAGAGAGAAAGTGCTTCCGGTCTGTTTGTGTTTCCACGGCTCTGCAGCCATGTGTACAGCCTCTCCCTGTTCTCTGTCCTTGAGGAGCAGGGACACTCCACACCCTGGAGGACTGTGTGAGGAAGTGAGTGTGTAAGCACTCCGGGCTGTGAGCTCAGTCTGTCATGCGGGGGATGTTATAAGAGTAGTGTACTAAAGGGAGGCCGCGGCTCTGACAGAAACAGGCTCGGCCGCACGCCTGCACCTGCTCCGAACTGTCCGACACAAACGAATCACCCTCGTCTCCATATTCCGACTGAGCGGAAAGCGTCCCGGTGTCTGGCCAGTACCCCTCTGAGCTCAAGCACTGGGGTGCGTTTGCCATCAAAGCCGGGCAGCTGTGGGACTTAACTAAATGTCTGCAGGCTGAGGAAGAGGAGGAAGCGGAAGAGGAAGATGTGCTGATGTGAAGGGCGGCGTCACAGTGTTCGCACATTACCCGATTGTCGCCCTGGAGCTTCGTGTACATTCCGCAGTCACTAGACAGGCCTTCGCCATCGTTGGATACTGCCGAACCCCCTGCCACCGTCCCTTTGGTAACAGCTTTACCAACCAGCCCGCCGCAACCTCCGGCCCTCCCCTGTCCTCTAAGGCGAAGCCAGTCGTATCTGAAGGAGGGACTGAAGCAGACGTAGAGCACGGGGTTCAAGCAGGCAGAGAGAGGAAAGAATATGAGCGTCACTGATTTGGCCATCTCTGGTCCGCCCACTGCATTACTGGTCCCGGCCAGCAGGGGAGCGAAAGAGAAAGCCGCCACTGGACAAAAGAAGATGCAGTTGGTGAAGATCAGCCAGGCGATGTGCCTCACAGACCCAGCATGCTCTGGGTCAGCCAGCTGGGCACGGCCCAACCTGCAGTATAACCGCGTATAGACCACCGCGCTCAGCAGGTACGCTAGTGTGTTCATTAGCACCAGGGCCACTGTGAACCCCAGGCCTGGTCCGGGACCTCCGGAGAAAGGCAAGCAGAGAGGAGAGCCCATGGCTGATCCGTGATACAGACTGAGGCAGGCCGCTGCAACAGATACCAATCCCAACAAGAGTGCTGTGATACCAAATCTCCTTCGTCTTTCCCTCCTTTGGCCACTGGACCTCAGAGCTCCTGCCTTCCCCATTAGAGCTCTCACAGCCAAGCAACGCTCCACCGCAGCTAAAGCCAGCAGTAGGACGGCCCACTCGGATGAAAACACAGCGAGGAAACCCACAACCTGACACCCAGTGCCTGTTTCCCACCACACACCGTACTCGGCAAATGAGCCCCAGGTGACCGCATCCAGGAGTGTCAGTGCTGCCACATAGACCCCTGTCAGCAGGTTAGCAGAGGCCAGGAATGCAACCAGGAGGCGGGCCGGGGAGTGAGGGGAGGTGCGTGGGGAGAAGGTGGCTGCAAGAACCAGGCAGTTGAAGAGGAGCGCCACCAGGCAGATGAACCACACGGTCAACCGGATCATCCAGCTTCCCAACAAGTGTTCACAAGGTTTAAATGCCCCTGAAAGACAAAGAACATACAGAGAGACACATCAATCCAAAGTATGAGAGGTGCAAAAGAGGCTAAATCAATATTTCACAATGTTGAAAAAAAATGTTTGTGGTTTCTGTTATTTCATAAATTAATACGTTAAAACAGTAATATTGGGAAATAATATTACAATGTAAATATATTTTAAAAGGTAATTTATTCCTGTGATGCAAAGCTGAATTTTCAGCATTATTACTCCAGTATTCTGTCTCACATGATCCTTCAGAAATCATTCTAATATGCTGATTTGGTGCTTAAAAAAACTTTTCTTATTAATATCTTCAAATGTTGAAAACAGTTGTACCACTTCTTTGATGAATAGGCAGTTCATAAGAACATTTATTTAAATCAATTTTTTTTTATAATGTTATTGTAACGAGAGGGGCGGGGCCGAGAGCCGTGGGAACAGAGCGAGGCCGGTGGAGTAATTGCGAATGCGCGACACCTGCGCCACTCACCGGTCTCGAGTCTCACGGAGGAGCTCCGGAAGGATACAAAGGAGGAGTGACGACAGGGAAAGACGAGAGAGGACCAGGCCTGGAGTTTATTTTATGTTTTGGTTTTGTTTGTGCGCGACAGTCGTCCGCGAGGGGCTGTCGCGCTGTTTGAGTGTATTTTATTATTAAAGTTTCTTTTGAGTGTTCGCCGGTTCCTGCCTCCTCCTTCCCGACCTACAAACTACGTTACAGTTATAAATGTCTCTACCATCACTTTACATCAATTTAATTTATCTTACTGTACCCAAACCTTTGAATGGCAGTGTACACAGTAGGGATGCACAGATATTATTGTTAGATACAACTGTGATAAGCAAGTAATTATTTTCATTTAACGGCCAATAACCTGATTTCATGTAATGCCAGATATGAAAATGATATACTATTTTGTTTAAATAAAAAATGCTACAAGTGAATTTATGCATCACAACATTATAATGTACAGTATAAAAAAATGGATATTAATTTTGAGATTACAAGCATCATTAAATTATTAGTGTTTTTAAAGATTTTTATGTGATTGTTAGATGACGGCAAATGTAATCTAAATGTTAAAATAATGGACATTAAAATTTAAATCTCCAGTATCAGCCGCTGTATATTCAATACTGTTTGATACCAATTAAAAAACAAAGCATCATGCATGCATGTGCATCTCTATTACCCAGTATACATGGGTTATGTGGCACTAATCTGTATCTCATAACATTACATTACCCACTGAGTTCACTGGCTGTAGCAAAAGAAGAGAAAAATAGACTTTTTGTATTTACCCGGTGATGGTGAGCAGTGCATGACCAGAGGAATCCTTTCCATCTCCTCCTCACCACCTAACATATATTTATACGCATGTCAATTACGAGAATCATAGTACCACACATAAATATGGCCAGACCACTTAATTCAATCACATGCGGCTACAAACACCAAAGCAGCAAGCTGCTGAGCTTAACTGCATTAATGTGCACACCAAAAAGTCATACCAAATGCATTTCTCCGCTCGTCATCCTGTGCTGGGTTAACTGCACTGTCACAAGCCACAAAAGCACAACACTGGTAGGCATAGGGAACCGTTATGGACCTTTGGGGACAAAGAGAGAGACCGAGTGAGCGAGAGAGACAAACTACTTTGGAAGACCTAAAGAGTTACTTAATTATCTGGGTTTTGATCAAAGAAAGGCTCATGGTCTCTCTGATTTCTTGAGTATACTGTGAGTGTGATTACAGAGTACGGGTGAAGGTGGGGACGTAACGCCATTATTCATATAAACTGAACTGGGACACAGGAGCAACCTTAATGACCAGTAATCAGTCGTGGCTCATGAGTAGGGGCTGTGAAGAGCTCTTACCTGAGTTTAGGCAGACTCTTAGACATCAGGCTGTTCCTCAGCTCCACATTTCCAGTCAGTTTAAGCTGGTTCAGTGCACTCAGTCCTGTGGTAGGAACACTAGCTAGGGAGTTCAGACTGAGATCCCTAATGGCATGACGGGAAAAAAGGCAATTATTTTCATACATACACACAAAAAGCCCCATATGCCTTTGTTGTTTAATCAGAGACGCTCTGGTGGAGAAACTGCATCACAGTACTTTTGATATCTTTAAGTAATTAAATAGCAATGTATGATCAATTAAATCATGACAATTATATTTTCAATTCCCCAGCAGTTTTTTCCACTAAAATGCAATGAATGTGAATAATTATGAGAGAAGACTCTATGACTGAACACTCACAGGCTGGTGAGAGCGCTGAGAGAAAGGAAAGCATCTCTGTGGATGAACTTGATCTGGTTTCTGCTCAGGTCTCTATAGAGCGGTAAGAAAACAAACAGATACACAGGCTAAACATATACAGATGGCTCTGGGTAAAGACTCAGAATTCAGGACAAGCCTTGTGCAAGTTCACTATGAGAAGATCAGTCAGAGTGTGATTACCGAACTGCTGTTGTTCATTTAATTAAAAAAGTCATAAGTCATTAATTAGTCATTAATTAAAAGTCATACTGCCTTGAAGCCCTCTTAGCCATAGTAAAAATTACAGGAGCCTATGTTCTCTTGTAACTTATTTCTATTATAAAACAGTGACAAAAGCAATACACACTACAGTTCACATTTTTATGTGGAAAAAAAATATTAAGCAACACAACTGTTTGATAATATGTAGAAATGTTTCTTGGGCACCATATCAGCATATCAGAAGGATCATGCAACACTAAAGAATGGAGTAATGACTGCTTAAAAATCAGCATTACCATCACAGGAATAAATTACATTTCAAAATATATTAAAATATAAAACATGTATTTAAATTATATTATTACTGACAATATTGTTTTACTGTATTTCTGATCGAATAAATGCAGCCTTATGGACTTACTTAAAAGAAACAAATTTTTACTGACTCTAAACCCTGAACAGTAAACTATAAATATTCAGTTAAATACATTTATGATACAATTGCTATTGTTATTATTATTCATAATAATAATAATAATTATGATTATTATTTGAAATAAACAAGTAATATAGTTCATCAGACCTTTTACAGTTAATCACTTTAATACAGAATTCAATAAAGAACTAAGGTACAGATGATCAACACGTATATCAGCTATTTCACAATGGCTTTGTATGTGATTCATACAAAGTAGAGTTTTGATATATTGTAAGACTCTATGGGATACCTTATTCTTATTGGTTAATTTCAGCATCAGCTCATTTAAGGCAATTGTGATTACTTACAACACTCTAAGGCTGGTCATGCCCTGGAAAGTTCCTCTGTCTATCTGCTGGATTTGGTTATGCTGTAGACTTCTGCAGAACACATAATTAAACAAAACCTCAGTGCCTCTTCATACACATAATGAATTCAAACATCAAGAACTCAAAGTTGTCTAAACAGTAGGAAAATGTAGCATGATAACAGAACTTACATGTCCTGCAGTCCAACACAGCCCTGAAAGGATGGCAGGTCTTCGATCTCATTATAGGAAAGATCTCTGTCAGAACACACACACAAATTTTGAGACACTGAGCTTGTGAGGAATGGAACTGTTTTGATGAAGTTTAGACAGGAACTAAAGGATCTGTGATGTGTTACAGCAGCCAGGCTGGGAGCAGGCCTGCCTCTGGCTCGCTCTCCTCCGGGAGGTCATTAGACATCACTTTAAAACGTCCCCCTGCAGCTGAGCCTCTGACAGGCCAATGCGCACAGGCCTGTGAGGTGGATGACGCTTGACTGACGCACACTGCGCTTGTGTGCGATGGAGTGTGTCTGTGTGTATTTGAAGCTGAGATGGAAAGGAGAGTGTACGGTTATGACTGACATGCCAAGCATATGTTAGTCTCTTGAATGACAGCACTGGCTTGAAGGCTTTTCTGTGACTGTTTGTGAGTGTTCTGAGTGACGGCTAACCTTTGTGTTCTAAGGGACCTGTGACTGATGATTAATTACAGAGCACTTGAGGCTGTAACTGGCACATCATTGGGCACTCATGGACATTTGACTGACATGTGTTATGAACTATTATGAGTAGTATGTCACTGCTTAAAAGCATGCTAGTGTGTGGTGGCACATTAATGTATGGTTACAATGTGGTATTTAGTGCTATTATCCTTGTGTGTGTCTCTGATGTATTACGCAGTTGTGTCAGCAGTATAAGAGTGGAACTGAATTATAAACCGTGCTCATGTGTCAAGTATGACTCACAGTGTGCGTAGCACCGTCAGATCCTCACACAGGTCTGCTGGGATGCTTCTGATTTTAGTTCCTGTTAAAGTCCTGGGCAACACAAGAGACGTGAAATGTGCATTTTGTGTTTTTGCTTCATTTACACTGTATTTCAAACTTTAATAAATGACTGGCCTTTAATTTTTGTCATTTATTATCATTTCAGGGTGTGCTGTGTGACATTTCAATATTAGGAAACTTAAAATAAATGGTTGCTGTTGATTTTATTGTAACTGACACGGTTCTTTTGTATGTTTATGCTGTGTAAAATAAACTCACAGGCTTTCTAGATTTATTGTTCCAGTCAGGCTGGGGAAATCTTGCATCATACTGGCACCACGCAGCATTCTGAAATATATAACAAATTAAAGAAAATGAAAACAATGTGTTCATTAATTCAACATAAAAAGAAAAGCTTAGCAGAAACTTTGACTTGCTTTTTTCCATACAATGAAAGTAAATGGGAATGCTGTCAAGCTCCAAATGAAGGGGGAAAAACACTATTAAAGTATGATATATAGTTTATTATATGGAAAAGTGCAATATACCAAAAAAACAAACCTTTATCGTTTTATGGAAGAAGAAAAAAATCCTACTGGTTTGGAACAACAACATTGTAATTTTGGTGTGACTAATTGCTATAAGGTTGAATAAACAGAAATGAACATATAAAAGCCCACTGTAAACACTGTAATATGCAAAAGAGCATTTAACTGACAGGTGTCAGGATGAGTGACTGACATGTTCAACGTGAGTGTAATTCGGTTCCAGAACAATGACTGAATAATGGTTCTGCTTACAAAGAGTGCAAGTCTGACAGGTTCTGGAAAGCAGTGATTCCCACGAAGGAGAGCGGGTTGTCAAAAAGATGGCTGCAGACACAGATATAATGGATGTTTATAGCCAACAAAATTAATAAATAAATCACAATATTTCAACTAGACTGTGTGTGTGTGTGTTCCATGACAGTGGGATCAGCGTTTGCTTACATTGTGCGTAGCAGGGAATTTCTATGGAAAGCTCCCTCAGGGATGGATGCAATGTTGTTGCTATGAAATCCACTGGCAAACAGGGAAAATTTAAATCATTATGAAATCATTAAGCTAGAAATCTTTAAGGAGCTCAGTGAGGAGCACTCTGAGATATTCTCCCTCAGGATTTCTAACTGCTACATTATTACTGATCACAACTCAAAATTATGAAGCAGTTCTAATTCTCAACGCTAAATGGCAGCTGGACACAAGTGATTATTTTTTAAAGCTCTCAGGATTTCAAACAGGATTCCTTTTTTACAGTGCTGAAGACACCTGTTTGAGACCCTTGATTTTAACGGCATTATTACACTATTCTAATCTTCCATTCTTTTAAAAGGACTCCCTTTTTAGAATGATTTTAAAATGCTGGAAAAAGCACCTGAAACTTCACTCCAATTTTATCTCCTTTACTCTCTGAAATAAAGGTTCAGCAATAAAAAAATTCAAACAATGATATAATAACACCAGCCATCCACATCAAAAGCCAACCCCAGAACAAGTGTCTGAGAGGAACTATTGGAATGACTGTAACTGAGTGTTGGAGTGTGTGTGCGTGTGTGTGTTTGGCGATACTCACAGTTCTTTCAGCTTGGGCAGCGTCTGAATGGCCTCTGGGAAGGTCTTCAGATTATTGAAATTTAGATCCCTAAAAGGAGAGAGGGCAGATGAAAGTTATTCACATTAGGATAAAGCCTCCCTTGTGTGAACTAAACACTATAGCATATACTGTATATTATTGTTTTTTATACTGTATATTTAATGAAGCAGTATAATAAGAGCCATCTCTTTTGCCGCTCTATGTTTAAAGAAAGACAACAGAACCATAACTGAAGATCATTTTTGGCTAAAAGACAAAAAAGGAACAACCTGAGAGAAGGAGAAAAGAAAATCTGTTGAGAGGAATCGACTGTGCTGTTTACAGAAGCAAGTCGGGACAGCCAGTCTGCTGATTTCTTCAGTGTGTTATTGTTTGTCTCAGCTGCCACACGATACACAACCTGGCATGATACTTACTCTCTACCCCCTTAATGCCCCCGTCCTGTGTCCCACTCTCCTCCCTAGGGGCACAGGACGTTGGCGTGTCCTCATCCTGTCCTAATTATGGTCAGAATAAGTAAATAAAGTAGAGTCAGCGATAGCTATCTGCTTTCCCCTTCCCCTCGCCTCTTCCTCCCTGACGCGGTGGATGCTTGCTAAACGAACTGTGGTAAGTTGAGAGAGAGAGAACGGAGGCAATAAGGAAAAGCCGAAGGTCTTGAAAAGACTCCTTTGTCCTTTATTGGTATACTGTAAATCCTGATTAACTCAATTCAAGCGTAGCAGTAATGACTCGTTAGAGTTGCCGGACTTTAGGACGATCTCTAATCACATCAAAATATATAGAGAAAACGCATCTTACTACTTAAACTAACTTTTATAAGTCAACTACTGCATTTTACTCTCTACAATAACTTTCAGAATAACAACTGGCACATACTGAGTGTCAAAGAGAGACTAAGCTATGCTAGGTGAGAGACCGCTAACAAATGCTCATAAAGTCAAAACCTTTGCATGTCCATGTCTATTTTTACACTTCTTGTGTAACACATGCTTTTTATTCATAATGAAATGCATAAGATAACATTTCAGGCTCAAGGTTAGGGATCTCTGTTCAAGGATTACATGTATTTCATGTCTAGTGTAATCTCTACTACACTGCATACTGGTATTCAAATAAATGTCAGCTAAAGCATCCTTACAGAAAGCTCCCAACATTCTCTGCAACTCTTGAGTCTTGCAGAAGAGGGAGCTAGAGCAGCAGATAAATATCCTACCAAACGCTATATAACTGTACTAGTACCCACACACAATCTCTTGTAAAATTATGTAGCGTGATGCTATTGATGACAGACCCACTGCAGCAAATGTAAATGTAGTGTTACATGCGGTTGCAATCTCTTTAATGACAGGAAGTGTGGCTACATATGAAGTTGAGGGGGAACTCACAATGTCTCCAGGTTGTCCAGCCCATTAAAGCAGTTTTTTCCAATCTCCTGGATCCGATTGTTGTGTAGATGCCTGCACAACATGGACAAACAAGATTTTAGACGCGATACTTAGACATTCGTTACACACAACCATTTCAAGTTGGGGTTCTAGCCAATAGGCTGATAATTATTTTGATGCTATGAAAATAAATGGACAAAATTAAAATTCTATACTTTTTTTGTTTAAATTAATTAAAAATAAAATATATATCAGGTATAACGTTATAATATATCATATAATATGTGAAAAAGAGCATGAAAAATATATAAATTTTGAGTTTTGCATAAGATTACATTTCACAGCAATTTATTAATTAAATTAGAAGCGATTTTAAAGATTAATTTTAAGTGTGCATTAGATGATGGCAAAGGTGAACTAAATATAAAAATAAGGGAAATGAGCATGCATTATTAAATACCCAGTATCAACTGATACACTACATTAAGATTAAATTGATATTGTCAATAATAAATAAGGTGCCAATATAACACACATCACTAGTGTTATAAGCATTAGGGATGCACCGATACTGATATCGGGCCCGATACTGCGCTCCTGTACTCATACTCATTAAAATGCCCCGATACCAAAAACCGATCCTGCACAGCATGTGAACAGTGCAGTGTCCAGATAAAGAATCAGTGACAACAGAACAAACAGAGAGCAGAATGAAGTCATTAGAGATTAAGGCCCAATCCCAATTCTACCCCTTAGCCCTTCCCCTTTCCCCTACCCCTCCGTTTCGCGCGTTCATGTGAAGGGGTGTCTCAATTCTCTTTTGGTTGGAGGGGTAGGGGAAGGGCCAGACAGCCCTTCAAACGAAGATTTTTCGGGACCACACTTCAAACGAAGGGGTATGAATTATCTCAGCGTAAACCGGCTTCAGCGGCAACATGGCTGCCCGAGCGAACAAAAAGACACATAAATGTAAGCATTTTTGGCATTAATAAAGATTTTAACGAAAAATAATCGTTTATAATTGTTTTATGTTACATTTAATCGTGAGTTCATATTTACAGTCATGTTACTCCAAGAAATGTTTGCAAAAAATCACTAATATTCAGTACTGGGGAAAGTTACTTTTAAAAGTAATGCATTACAATATTGCGTTACTCCATTAAAAAGTAACTAATTCTGTTACTTAGTTACTTTTTATGGAAAGTAATGCGTTACGTTACTTTTGCGTTACTTTTAAAATCTGGACAGGGCTTGCTTGTTTGATTTTAAAATAAAAAAAGTTCTATTTTTGGCAAATATAAAAGCCTTTTCACACCAAAAGTGAAATGAATAAGCCTCAGGCTGAAGGGAAAGTAAATTTACGTCCGTACAGTAGAACGCAGAAGAAGACATTTCAACACATTTCAGCAATAAAAAAAAGACACACAAATGTTTGTCTAGAGTAATTTGTGGTTATTAGTACAGCTGAACTGGATCATCGAAGGACAGAAGCAAAGACATTGGTTAATAGAATGGGATTAAATACATGAAGGATATTTGTGTTGTTTAACATTTAATTATTGCAGGTTTGCGTCATACTCTGAGTTGCATTATTTTATTAACCACCGTAGACATTGAGGGGGGCTAGTCCCCCCAATAATTAGAAATCGCTAAACCCTTTTCTCAAATATTGCCAATTCGAGAGAGAGAGAGAGAGATGAAAGTTGCGTGTATGCGTGTCTGTGCGTTTCTCTTTTAAGAGAGAGTTTACTTAAAAAAACAGCGATTTTATCCTCGTTGCTGGAAAATATAATGTAGCGATTCAGTATTTAAACTGTTATTAATAAAAGTCGTGGGGCAGCGTTGACAAGTTTCTTTTCTCCTGGATGTTTGAGCTGCGTGATCTCCAATATATATGTGTGTGTGTCAGTAAGCAGCGCATTAATATAGAACGGTAATTAAAGGCTCTCATGCACACAAGCACACCAGTATAGGTGTGTGTATTGTGAGCTAGACAACGTATGATGACGTGTGATGGCATAGTAGTGGTGTCCCAATTCTTCTGGGAATATTTTCACCCCTACCCCTTGACACTCTGTTTCAAAGGACAAGGGGGAGGGGGAGGCAGAGGGGTAGGGGAAGGGGAAGGAGAAGGGGAAGGGGAAGGGGAAGGGGTATAAAATAGAATTGTGATTGGGCCTAAGTATGTTTACGAAGTACATGTATGTAATTAATATAATGTTAAACTTTCAATATTCATGCCTGTATAGCTGATTTGCGCGAGCTGATAAGCAAAGCACACTGAGTGGATTGAGCGTGCAGCGGCACAGATGAAATAGAGCTTGTTGAGAGCAAATATCCTTGTAAAAAAGCTTGTACTATACATTTAAACAAGTATAATTAAGTGTAAAAATATCTGAAGGAAATCTGTTTGCTAAATGAAGCCATTTTTGGTTTCTGGACCTAATATTTTTTAAACATTACCAATGCTATGAAAATATAAGTATCGTATCGGCAAGTAAAAAAATAAAAGTATCTTATCGGACTTGTTCTGGAAAAAAGTGGTATCGGTGCATTGCGAATAAGCATACAGTGAATATAATCTGAGATGTAAAACAAGTTTCTGCAGGTTTTATGAAGATTATTATTAAGACTTTTATTAAGATTATTATTGAAGATTTATTAAGAATTTTTATGACCAAGTAAAGAAAATTTAAGCAATAAATTGAACGGAACACAACCACATATAATAAATCGAAGGGAATAGAAGAAATCTTCATTACTTTTAGATTCATTTAAAAAAAAAAAAAAGCATGCCTTGAAAACATCTGCTCTAAACCAGTAAAATACTTAACTGTACCTTCTGATTACACTGCAAAAAAGTGTCTTCCTCAGTAGTGTTGTCTTGTGTTTATGTGCAAATGTCCAAAAAGATTCTTAAATTGAGCTTAATTTACTCGAGAAGCAAAATAACATAAAATAACAGAAACTGATTAAAATGAAGTGAGTTAATGATTAAAACATTTAAAATCTTTATCTAAATTCATATCCCATTGACAGATTTCTCAGAAAACAACTTCATATGTTAAATTTGCATCTCAAGTAAATGTATCTTGATTTAAGGATGTTTAAATATTTGTGTTGGAAAACAAAAATACTCAGGAAGACATAAATTTTTTGCAGTGAATGAAACATTTAATGCCATGACTTTATAAATGTAAGGCTTTCTGCTCCGATTTAAGACCTTTTTAGGCCATAATTTGTGGAAGGGTGAATTAAGGCTAAGACTAACAGAAACCCTGAAAAATAATACATCTCATCTATGCAGAATTAATTTTTCAATTTATAACTGTTCAGATGACAAGGGATGATGTCTATTTTGCTTGAATTTTCCAGTCATTAAAAAGATGCACTTCTCAGCAGAACACCAACACAAACATATTCTGTCCCTGGAAGTCTCTGAATGGATAACTCCTCAGACGTATTGCTGAGCACTTCACCGCACAGGTCTGTGTGTTTGTTCAGTCTACTTAACGGATTAATTGGCCTCCACTTCTAAGACAAATATTTTCCAGCATCTGGAATGTAATTGGTAAATCAGACCCACATAGAAGCTTCCAGAAGTAAGGCACAGGGCACTGAGATTTGGAATGGGAGCTAATCACAGGGAGGAGGGTTTGATGGGTAATACTTGTCGGGTGGTGACTTCCTGTTTATGAATGGCTGACACTGACTAAGCTCTACTCTCCCTCCCCTGAAGATTGTACAATTAAAAACACAAAAGACTAGAGCATGCGTAGGTGTAGATCTCAGTTAGAACAAGAACTAAGATTTATAACCGTGCCATTAAGTATGGGAATAAACACACACACACACACATGCTCCGTTACCAGACTTCGTTAAGCTGTCTAATGCCTACCTAGATTTCCTAACTCAAATAGAACCTCATAAATGAATGAACTGACCTGATGACAGCAATTACTTAACCACACTCACCAATTTTCAAAGGCTGTATCTGTGTCCATCTAATAAAAAGGCGTGATGATTTTGGAATAAATTACTTTAAATTCATCATTGTGCAAAAAAACAAAGCACAAACCTTTGTACCAGGTTATGTTATGTTGAAACACTCAATGTAACTGTAGAAGTCGGACACTCAACATGTCATAAACTTTGACATCAACACAAATGTTAAATGTGTAACTAACACTAACGGGTAAAATATAGTTTCTTTGTACAAATGTAGAGATGATCATTCAAAATTGGCAAAATAATTTGTTCATGTGTTCTACAACCTGATCCAGCACTTACATTTTTTTAATGGCTTCTGGGAAATGGACCGGACAACTCTCCTTTTACTAACCTCTTAAAACACCTAGTATAATCTAAATTACATGTACCACAACACCAGTTTATCACAATCTTAAGAATTTTCCAAAAAAGGAGGTTTGTATGTCACAGACATACAAAGTAAGTTTGATGGCTAAAATGGTGAATAACAATAAGGCTTCTCAGTGCAGTGATTTGACTGGCTATTTGGATGATCAGTCATTTATCCGTTGTATGGTCAACACTATAAACCATACAAATAGCATTCCTCTTGCAAAGCTCACAGGAAAATCCTTTCAATTGTTTAACATTTAATTAGTGATTGCTAAGCTAATAACAATACTCTATTAAGCATTAAAAATGCATACTTTTTTCACCTGATTTCGGCCTTAAAATGTTACATATAGTTAGATCACTATTTGGGAACAGAAACACACAGTTAGACAAACGGTGAGGAGCTTATGAATGCCTCTGTGTAATGGAAATATATTACAGAGGTCTTGTGGATCTACCAAATGAAAATATAAACAGCTCATAATTGTTCACAATAGCCTTGCCTGGAATAGTGTGTACAGTGTAATTTAAGCTTAGTCTCACTTGTTAAATAAACTTTTTGTGTTCTCTCAGGCCATTCTGAGAAAGGAGGACTAAAGGCTGATTTATAATTCTGCGTCGGACCTACGCCGTAGCTTACGCACACCCCATACGCTGTAGGCTGATGTGCACCTCTCCAAAAATCTAACAGCGCGTCAATTCTATGCAGACCGCAAGCGCTGTGATTGGTCTGCAAGAACCCCTCCCTCCATATGTACGAGAGTTTTGTGTGTGTTTATGTGCACTTTAATATATTTTAATGTTACACCTTCTTATATAAAATAAAACAAAGCAAAGAACAAGTGTCTTGTCATTTATTATGCTACATAGCACTATACATCAGTAGTTGACCGCAACAAACAATGTTGATCTGCCGTGGTACAAGTCCTTGTGCAGAATGAAAGAATGCCATCATCTCCTGTTCCGTTGTTGTCTCCTTTTTGTTGTTTTAAATGATTTAATGATTTGATATTTATTTGCCACCGTCACGGCTATAATGCTTCTCCGATGAGCCGCTTCTTCTTCGGCTTTTGCCATGGTACTGCGGGTTACACCAGCAACATGCCCGTGGACACTGCTGACTAGCGGTTTGCATGTGTACTGCACGTTGACGCGGACAAGACGCAGAAGTATAAATGAAAAATTACGCATAGCCTACGGCGTAGGTCCGACGCAGAAGTATAAATCAGCCTTAAAGATTGCACATGACGAGTGAAAACTTCATGCATGTACTGTTCCCTTTTTTTGTCTGAGTGCAAGTCGGAAAAGGAAAACTAAAAAGGAAAACTTTTTAGGACTGCAAGGCATTTGTGAACTACAGTGAAATACTGACGTGGGCTTTGGATATGTACTCTGGCTCACTTTTGGCTTTGGCACGTTTAAGAATGTTTAATTCTCTGCTCTACACAGATATGAAGCTCACACAATGGGCATAATGTGGGGTCTGTGAGTGATACGTAAACTGAAATCAGTGAATGAATGACACAATTTGGCATTCACAGTCCCTTATAGTTCTATCCAAAAACGGACGGTTCATTTGTGACTAGAACTGAATCACAATTCAGAAGTGGACTCGGGTGGCTCTTATCTATGGAGATACGGATCTGTCAGCTGCAGCTGAAGACTGTGCATGCTGCTTGTTTTGAACGTACAGATCTGGGCATGTCCATATCAGCCACTGCCAAACCTGAGGGTGCACACACTGACAAACACATATAGTACAAGATTCACTGAGATTCAAAACGGTTGGGTGGCGTAGATGAGAGAGACAGAGAGGATATTAATTTAAGATGTATATCTACAAGGAAACATTTGGCCACAGGAGCTGTTGTAACGTAACACATTTATTTCTTTATAAGCATTTTCAGATCATAGCTTCAATAATGGATGAAGGATAATTGTTAACGATAATGAATTGCTCTTTGGTCTGTTAACTAGGAAAGCACAGAATTGACTTTTGAGGTTAGAAGGCACAGATCTTCACCGGATCACTGCAAACTGTGGCATAGACGGCCACTTGAAATTATAGATGGATGCAAGATTATAATTGTGGTTTTGGAAACTGTTTGAGTGAGGAGAGGCAGTCATATTTCCAGAGTATATTCAAGCATCAACTGCTCTAACTAGGGATGCAAAGAGGTAGCCTGATTAGTGCAGCTGAAGAACCTGTGCAGAAAGCCTGCAGGGTGAACACATTCCTGGAGGACTGCCCCCTTTCTTCTCTCTCATGTGTCTCTCGTGTTTGGCATCTGCTCTGACTATATTCCTACTCTTTCTCTCATCATCCTCGCTGAGGGGCAGAAGGCACGTTGATTGACAGGTCATCTCTAAGGCCTAATCCAAAAGCAGGCGCACTGTGCCAAAACACATTACTTCAGCACAACAGGGAAAAAGAGAGGAAAAACACACAACGTGAGGGGGTAAGATAGAGAGACGTAGAGATCTGGAGAGGTGATAATGGCTGAGAGCTGATTTTTTAAACACCCGTTGTCCCACAGCAGAAACAGCAGCTGGACTAAATCTCATTGAGACAAAGTTAAAGGACAGACACACAAACAAACAATGCACAGTTACAGAAACTCTAATGCATCTGAGACATTACCATGTAAACATTTCTTGATGAAATACATACGATCATTGCTATCATAACATTATACAGGTAACTGACAAAATTATTAATTTAAAATAAAAAAAAAATTTTAAACAATGCACCAATGTACAGTATAAGCCAATTATCTGTATTGGCCAGTAAAAGTGATTATCAGACATTGGCAAGCAATGATCAGCCAAACAGCCAATGATCTGAGCCAATTATGACGTCAATCAGAAGGCTCTGGTAGAACAGTTTGAGGTCAGTAAGATTCTAATATTTTTGAAAGAAGTGTCTTAAGCTCAACAAGGCTACATTTATCTGATTAAAAATAAATCTGTAAAAAGGTAATATTGTGAAATATTATTACAATTTAACTTTTTATCATTTTATTTTAATATATGTTAAAATTGTATTTATACCTGTGATCAAAGCTGAATTTTCAGCATCATTACTCCAGACTACAGTGTCACATGATCCTTCAGAAATCATTTTAATATGCTGATTTGATGCTCAAGATACATTACTTATTATTATCAATGTTGTAAACAGCTGTGCTGCTTAATATTTTTCGTGGAACCATAATACTTTTTTCAGGATTCTTTAAAGAATAGAAAGTTCAAAAGAACAGCATTTATTGAAATAGGAGTATTTTGAAAATGATAAACGTCTTTATTGTCACTCTTTACTGTAACTTTTCTAAATAAAAGCATCAATTTCTATCTTACTGTATCTTACTGACCCCATTTTTTTAACAATAGTTTATAGAACAGTAGTTTAAAGTACTTCTTGTTGAGTGGGAAAGAGAAAAATGCTGAGATGCTTACAAAGACTGCAGGGCATGGAGATTCTTGAGAGCTGCGCTTGGGACAGTCTTCAACTGATTGTTCTGAAGCATCCTGAAAAAGAAGTTTAAAGCGCCACCATTATGCACATCAATGACACATCACAGCACAACACATATACACTTCTCTTCAAGATTTCACCACAAATATAACCACTATATAAGCTCTAGTATTGATTTAATGTGTTTGTGTGTGTGTCTCGTTCTGAGCTAATCATGGTGCATATCTTCTTTCCTCTACCCTATCAGCTCTCTGGCGTCACTCAAATGGCATAGGCCGCGAGGACAGCTTTTCCTACTCGGTGCCAAGCCACAGCACACGCAACTACACACTAACACACACATACGGTTACATACACACAGCCCAGCCAAGAGGCATTCACAAACACATGACCACAGTAAATAAAAACTGGTCCCAAATCATCTCCAACATCTATAGTTCCAAAGTCAACGGCTTTTGGTCCACAATCAGTTTCCCTAACTCAATTCTCACAAGTGTCTGGATGAGCTGTAAGAGCACCATGGGGCTTTGAAATAGCCCTGGATGAGGACAGGAAGAGGAAAATTAGCTTTATGTAAAGCATGGCTGAGGGGACCGGGCTCCTGATAAGCTGCATTTGAATTGGCTCACAAACACCTGAAGGACAGAATATGAGTTACAGCAAAGAGAGAGTGGGAGAGAGAGAATGCATCATGATGAAAGGTACTCCATCAAGACACTGACAGACTTGCTGATCCAGTAGCAGCGAAATTCCTGTAACACAACACCACTTAACAACTCAACAAAACACACAGCAGGATCTACTTCTTTCTCACTGCACTGTACAAGATCTTCTCACTGGGTGAACGAGTTAGCCTGTATCAAATAGAGGTGTGTGTGTTGAATACTTACAGGACTTTAAGCTGATGGAGGCCAGACAGAGCCTCTGGGTGGATGAATGCAAGGTCATTACCAGCCAAACGTCTACGGAGAGAGAGAGAGAGAGAGAGAGATACTTCATTTCAGCTAGACTGCAAAAATGTCAGATATTCTGATGGAAAGCTGGAGAAAGGGTGTCAAAGGGAGTGAAAGTGAAGTTATGAGTGGGAAGGAACAGTGAAGAAAGAGTGATTTAAAAACTACGCAGGATGAGCTGTTGTAAAACGCGGAGAAACGCACAACTGCGACATTCATTTTTAAATTTACCCTTCACTAAGCACCACCTCAAGGCTGTGTGTCCACCAAAGCATTTTCAATCAACTGAAAATGCCAGATGCTCTGCTGAAAACGCCTAGCTGTGAGTGCTTGAGAGTGCTTCTGCGTTTTCAGTTAAGACGCTTTGGTTGCTATGATACGGAATATCCGCTAAAGTAATATGACACATCACAAATTAAATGTTTCTCCAAGCATTATTTTCATAATTTTGTGGTCGTCCGGGAATTCCATCTGGTGAAGACATGAATACTCGGAGACAAACAATATTAACTTCTCCATTGTTATTCAGTCGTAGTACAAGCAGGGTGTGATGGTTGGTCGGTGTGGTATTAGTCCCACCCCTCCTCCACTGTGATTAGCTGACTAAAAAGTGACAGTGATGAGAGCTGCATTTTACCCAAAGTTGAACTATCGGCGCTGAGAAAAAACGCCAGACGCACAGTACTCAGCTGAAATGAATGATCAGCGCCTTTCTCATGGTGTTTTAGAAAACAGCGCTCCCTTTGAAAACAACTGGAAAAAAAAAAAAACACAAGCTTGGTGGACACGTGGCCTAAATGTAACTGGCCAGTTCTTAGTGACAATGTTTAGCTTTTTTTCTAATGTAAGCCTAAGGATAGTTTAATTGTAGTTTAAATTAAATGAAACGATTTTAAGGAAACAATCCCACAACACGGAACATTATTGTCACTATGTCACTTATAATTACTAATATACAAATATTTTATAAACAAACACACATTTAAAGTACATACATTATTATAATTATGCATTGATAATAAGAGTTCTTGAGAACCAAATCAGCACATTGATTTCAAGGATCATATGACAAGATTGGAGTAACGGCTGCTGAACATTCAGCTTTGCCCATACAGGAATAAATTACATTTTAAAATATATTAAAATAGAAAAGAGCTGTAATACTATTTCACAATATAACTTTTTTTTTTTTTTTACAGAATTCTCCAGTTTCTTGTCTATGAGACATTCTGTAAAGCTTGTCTAAGTTAGTAACGTAACTAAGCAGGGCATAGCTTAGCAAGGGGCCTACTGCTATGTGGCTTGGCAACTATAAACAGCCTACAGACTTAGTGCGGGAGTACAATATATACAGCAGTTGATATCTGCGGTGCTGACAGTAGTGTGTTTGATAAGCGTTGCTCTCTCCAAGTGCTAACTTGCTCTTTGTAGGCAAAAGCCTCTCCAGACTCTCTCTGAATGGACAGCACAAATACCTAAGGACGTGTCAGAATGTGATGGTTGGAATGAATGTGCTGTGAAGTTGATGAGCTCTGATTGTACAGATATGTTCTGGGCTGGACAACACACAGCCTGACACCTTCTATTCAAGTGGACATCTTAAATCAGAATTTCACATGGCATGTGAAGGCATGTACACAGGTTAAGCTGTACTGCATGATACATGCTAGGATGTAAATTGTTTTCATACATGCGTTTTTCAATGTTGCATGTGCCGTTAACTGGAGTGCAAGAGTGTTTGTGTGTGGTAAGACAGGCAAAGGGTCCACATAACTTCACCAAATCAGGCCCGAGAGATTAACACCAGATTTATCACCCACTGAAACTGGAGTCAGAGAACCCTCTCACACTCTTCTAACTCTCTTATCATCTCTCTCTCTATCTGTTAGGAGCAGAAATAGGCCACAGTGTTTCAGAAAGAACAGAAAGCCTTCCATTTGGCCCCTCTCATTACAGGAAGTACTGGACTGCACACATTTATCTAGATGTTTAACTGCCCCTTGGTGGCCCTTAGATGCATGTCTGAAATAAATAAATAAAATCTAAAATATTATATACAAATAAAACTTTTGCAGTGTGATTATTATTTCAATGCAAAAAAAAACATATGCAATGTCCATCCTTCCTCACTACAGCACCACCTGTGTGTGGAAGTAACCAAACTGAGAGAAAAGTCTTCAAGGAGTTTATAAGGAAGTTTGATATGCAATGATTTACAAAAATAATTGTGTGGTGTTTGGGATCCACCAATCTTTCAACTTCTGCCATTATAAAGGTGCTCTAAATCATTTTGTTTTTGTCGCTGAATTTTCCATGACTATATCATCTAGACCAGGGGTGCCCAACCCTGCTCCTGGCGATCGACTGTCCTGCAAAGTTCAGCTCCAACCCTAATCAAACACACCTGAAGCAACTAATTAGGGTCTTCAGGATCACTTAAAAATTAAAGGCAGGTGTCTTTGATTAGAGTTGGAGCTAAACTTTGCAGGACAGTCGATCGCCAGGAGCAGGGTTGGACACCCCTGATCTAGACTCATTTTCCACTGACAGATTTGAAAGCTGCAAAATTTTGCAAGCAATACGTAAACTGAATTTGTCATTATATTAAAGTAGATGGTTTGTGAGTGCCATTTTTAGAGGACTTAATAGCTTGAAATATTACATTCTTTCTTGTCTGCTGTCTTTGTAAAAAAAAAAAAACAATAAAAAAACGAAAAACAAAAACAATGACAAAAAACAAAACAACAAAACTGGATGTGAAATGGAGCACCACAGAACTGGCAACAAAAAAAAAAATCCAGGGATCATTTGCCCACTGAGCAACTGATGCTGAGATGAATAAAGGACTTTGTGGGAAAAAAAAAAAGATGCTTCATGCTTGGTTCGATTGCCTGGTCCGACCCGTTTGATTGATCCCCCCTCCCGCTGCCCCCGCTGGTTTGTGTTCATACTGTGTTTTTTTTGGTTCCGAACCACGGTACATTTGCGTCATCAGAGAGGCAGCTGCTTACCCCTGTTACTAGGTTACGACTATGCAGAAGATGGCAAAAGGAATGGATGCCTGCTTACTTAATTTTTTACTTATGATTTTGAAAATTTGCGATTAATTTTTTGGGATCACTTAAAAATTAAAGGCAGGTGTCTTTGATTAGAGTTGGAGCTAAACTTTGCAGGACAGTCGATCGCCAGGAGCAGGGTTGGACACCCCTGATCTAGACTCATTTTTCCACTGACAGATTTGAAAGCTGCAAAATTTTGCAAGCAATACGTAAACTGAATTTGTCATTATATTAAAGTAGATGGTTTGTGAGTGCCATTTTTAGAGGACTTAAAAGCTTGAAATATTACATTCTTTCTTGTCTGCTGTCTTTGTAAAAAAAAAAACAATAAAAAAACGAAAAACAAAAACAATGACAAAAAACAAAACAACAAAACTGGATGTGAAATGGAGCACCACGGAACTGGCAACAAAAAAAAAATCCAGGGATCATTTGCCCACTGAGCAACTGATGCTGAGCCCGTGGACACTCTTTGTGGGAAAAAAAAAAAGATGCTTCATGCTTGGTTCGATTGCCTGGTCCGACCCGTTTGATTGATCCCCCCTCCCGCTGCCCCCGCTGGTTTGTGTTCATACTGTGTTTTTTTTGGTTCCGAACCACGGTACATTTGCGTCATCAGAGAGGCAGCTGCTTACCCCTGTTACTAGGTTACGACTATGCAGAAGATGGCAAAAGGAATGGATGCCTGCTTACTTAATTTTTTACTTATGATTTTGAAAATTTGCGATTAATTTATAAAATGCCAAGACAGAGCGGCACATGCCTCTAATTTGTCACGACTGTAATGCAAAGAATCAAAAGAACATGGGAGTCACTTTCTGCGAGCAGAAATGAGATATCAGTTCTTTCTGCTGCAGCGCGTCAGTCACACTTATCAGGAAAGCGAGCGAGTAAACACACATATAAACAGTTTGACCAATTCATACATTATTCAATTCCGTGATTTAGTACGATTGCATTAACATCAGAAGCGAACCGTACCGGAGTTCACATGAACTGTACCCCAGACCACCTCAGTTCAGAAAACGTTATCCAATTGAACTGAACTCTGAAGTCAAACAAACATGGGTGCACACCAAAAGTGCTAGTGTGAAAGCCCCCTTACATTCTCCATAATACCAAAGTATATATGTAAGGGTGTGTTCATACTTGTCATGGTTGGTTCAATTAAAACAAACCCTGGTGCGATTGCTCTGTTAGTGCGGTTCGTTTGAGTAAGTTTGAACGCTGCCATCCGAACCCTGGTGCGCACCAAACAAGCGGACCGAGACTGCTAAAAAGATGGGTCTCGGTCCGCTTCCAAACAAACTCTGGTGCCGTTCGAATTAAATATGAATGCAACACGGACCAAATACTTCTAAACGAACCAAAAACAGGAAGTAATGACAAGATGCGACGTTATGCGACATGATTTGACAACACGGTGTAACCAAAACAAAATGAGCAGAGGGCAAATGTGGAGCAACGATGAGGTAAAGTGCCTTTTATGAGCTCCTTGTGAGTTTGCAGGTGGTGAAAATAAAATGATATGTACATGCAAGAATGAGCGCGCTTAGTCCAGCAGACGGTATTATGTGTGCTCGACTTAAAGCAGTGCTGAGCAGACTGATTAGTTAATGGGTGCTTTGATATGGCCGACTCAATCAGGTTGTGAACGTATCACTATTAGTGGTCGACCGATATATCGCCAAGGCCGATATTTGGCATTTTTTAAATATCGGCATCAGCCAATAAGTTTTTCTGTTTGGCCGATGCGTTCGTGGCGGGACTTTTATTTTGACGGCGCTGAGAACGGCAGCGCCTGAACACAGTGCTCACATTCTCCCTCTTGTTTGCTGTCGTTGTTAACAGTTCTGTCCATGGACACAAGTCTGTCTAATAATCAGATAGAACTGTTAAACAAAGGAATTAAAATGCATACAAAAAAGTATTATAACGATTGCTTATATATTGTTAGTAACAGAAAGGCAAACATGATAATACATGATCGTTTGCCATCAGCATTCAGCAAATACACATTTATATAATTTAAACAAATCTTTGAATGACTAATGAACATCTAATTTCAAAAACCTTGCAAACTTAGTCGAATCCAGCTGTGAGATCTTGTGAAGTGTGCATGTGTATCCTGCACGATCGCGTGTACTCTGCGTGACGGTCGGTCTGTGTGAATTGAATACGGACAGGAGGAGAGTTCAGCTTAATTGAGACGCGCGATCAACAAACTTTAAACTTGTGATTTCAAATTATGATATTTTCATGGTGTGCTGTATGTAAAATGAGTGTTACCTTGGCTTTATTTGAAAAAATGTGATTCCCAATGCACACAAACTTCCCAGAATACTGAGTGCCCTGTTGGTTACAGTGTTTACTTCCTTTTTAATTATATTTTTATTAAATATTTGTTTATTTGTGAGAAATACTTTGTCATTTAAAGCATGTTTATTTTTTTAATCCATTTCCAAATTATTTAAAATTTCTTAAATATTAAATAAAATGATATCGGCCATCGACCACCCTGCTTTCCAAGATATCGGCATCGGCTATAAAAAAAACAATATCGGTCGACCACTAATCACTATGCCTTTAGGTTTGGTGTATTTAGGTTCACTGTCAAAAATGCCAATGTGAACGCTAAGCAGACCAGGACCAAATGTATAATTTTCCTTTTTGGTCCAGACCAAATGAACCAAACAAACCGAACTACAAGTGTGAACACACCCTAAGTCTATGGATAACTTATGCGGTGTCTCCACGGTGTCTCCAATATTCACCTGCAGACCTGGAGAAAGACAAACAGACAAAAAAAGGGAAAGAGAGGGTGATAAACAACATGTGACACTGGATAATACAGCTGGAATTATGATGGTGAGGACATGACAGGGGCAGCTTATCAGTCCGCAGGATCATAGGGGTTCAGCTTCTAAGTGTTGAAATATTGCCACACACAATGAGATGGATGGAGAGAGAAAACACAGAGAGAGATTAAAAGGACTGCTGGGATACTAAAAAGTTAAAATTATGAACCAAAACACAGGCTTTGACAGAATATCTGTCTCTCTACAACCACGACCCAAACCCCAAATTACACAATCAACTGCCGTCTAACTGCGTTCTTGTTTACATCAACACATTTGTTGTGGCACACCAATGCGGTTGAGTTAGCGGTGCGGGAAAAAAAGACGTTTTCTCGCTCCATGACTCTCTCTCTCTCTCTCTCTCTACATCGTTCTGGTTTGGCTGTGTCTCAAAGCCACCAGATTTGGCCAGGATACCATGGGTGGATTTTTAAGTACACACTCAGCGTCACAACTCAGCAGTCTGATGCATTGAGAGGGGAGATGTCACCCCTGATCATTATTTGTCTGGAACTAATCTAAGTCTCATTCTGTGGTCAGTGTGTTGCCAAAGCTGTGTAGCGCTACTCCGGCGTGTTGCTTTAGTAACCACTTCAGTGAGCACGGCAACTGAATGTCATGTGACCCTCTGAAGGGTTCAGCCAAGACAGAATTACCTTTATAAAACAAATTACAAATGAACTAATAAGTCAATGCGATGCAATATAGCTATCCAATATGGCATTGTCAGATGTTCCTGCTGTATTGTTTAGGACACATCCAGTGAGGCTGGATTCAGATTGGTCCAAGTGACATCTCCCAGGTCAAGAGCTTTAATGGCGCACTTTTATTTAAGTTTAAAACATTTACTTTCAGTTCAGAACTACATTAATTAAAAATAATTGCTGTCTTTGCAATTGTACTGCAGGCCACTATAGAAATGCCTTTATATATCACTATAAAGCAACTTCTTTAGGACACTGGCATACAAAATGATGATACATATTTTTAAATAGATTACAAAAATGTAACAGAAATTCATTAGAAAATAGTTCACCCAAAAATGTAAATGCTGTCATCATTTACTCACTCTCAAGTTGTTCCAAACCTGAATGAATTTATTTCAGCTTTTGAACACAAAAGATGATATTTTGAAGAATGTTGCTAACAAAAAATACAGTGGAAGTCAATGGCTACCGTCAACTATTTAGTTACCAACAATCTTCAAAATATCTTCTTTTGTGTTCAACAGAAGAAAGAAACACATACAGGTTTGGAACAAGTGAAGGGTGAGTAAATGATGACAATGTTCATTTTTGGGTGAACTATTACTTTAAATACAAAAAAATCAATCAAACACAATCTCTGGCATACTCACATGTACAATACTTATTAAGCCAGAGACACACACACATCTACAGAGGATTAATATTTGACAGCTCTATATCTGTCAGTGGGGGTGGATATGTTTGAAGAGAGAGGTGCGGGTGTGTGTATGTGTGTGGTTATGACAGAAGACTGCATGACTCTGAGGCAGAGAATGTTCCTCTTGGCTCTCCACTGTGCTGCCTAACAACAGCCATGGGTCACACCAACACGCACAGAAGCACATCACTGCTGCTGCACTGTCAGGGTAAATGCATTCTGTATAGGTGTTCTGCTCACTGTGATCTTTTATGCCTTCATCTCTACATGAGAACTACTTTTGAAACGCAATATCTGCCAGCTTATTTCTGGACACCCACAATTTTATACATAGCACTTTACATGGTCCACATGAACTCCATCTATGCAGTCCATCTCTTCATCTCTGAGTTTGCGTTGCTTTAACATGCATTTGGAAATGTAACATCTGCCAACCATCTTCCCATACTTGTATTCAAAGTGCTTATTACAAAAGAGAAGCTTAAAGGACCCCCTGTGGATTTCTGTCAAAATAAATGATGGTTTAATATTTGAAAAAAATAAAAATAAAAATAGCCATAAATATTAGCACTGCAATTTTACCGTTCTAATTTAAAATCTAATAATAATAATAATAATAATAACTTTGATCGATGTACAGTAAAATGTTACAATAGTAATATTTATTTTATTTAGTAATTTTAATATTTTTATTTAGTAATGGTAGCAGTAATTATAATTACTGTTGTTGTTGTTATTATTTTTATATAGCGATATAAACCACAGAATTTTGGCCAAATTGCACAGCCTTACAAACCAGCACAGCGAAGCAGGATGTTTTTTAACGCATTTATCAGGAAAATGTAACATATTTTTTCCCCTCCAAATTATGCACGCACATTTTTCATTCAAATGAAATGTTTTCTTTACAAAAATATTAGTTTTTTTAATTAGCAAGTTGAGTTATATTTATGATTTAAACAATTATTTTTCCTTTGCAGGCTTATAACTTTTACTATTAATAATAAAAGTTCTTCTTACACCCAGTATTCTTTTCCTCTTTTATGTATGGATACAGCCTAGTTGAAGATCTTGCAATGCAAATGTTGCTGCTGAGTGGTTACAACAGTCCAGGATTTGTTTAAAAATAAATTTAAGCCCAGAAAGTGAACTCCTGACCCTTGTGATTAACCACACCCATTGTGACCACTGAACCATGAGCAACCTGACAAAGAGCATCTGGCACAATGCAGTGCTGTACAGGTCCCGGAGACCTCACGCACCCCTCACCCCATTCCCAGATAGCACACGCTTCTGAAAACTCCAGTTGTCATGGAAACCATTGTTTTGCCCTCCTTCTTCTTGCCATGCATTCCTTCTCACAATGCGTTGAAAAGCAAATTGGCCTTTGACAAAGCACTGGAGAACTGTTTGGGAACGAGAGCGGAGGAGATTGGAGTGGATGAAAGACACACGAGGGTAAGAAAACACACTCCAATCAAACGAATAAAAAAAAAGAAAAAGAGCGAACAGCAAGGGGGAGCCGACTTTGGGAGCTGGTCATTTCAGCAGTCTGGAAGCGCTGGTACCTGATATCACTTAAGATAGATGTTATCTGCCCTTCCCGCAGATGGGCAGACGTGAGATGAGAGAAGAAGTAAAGAAAAGACAAACACAAAGAAAAAAATCAGTCACACCCAACGAGAGTTCAAAACTTACTTCAAATATACTGATACAGCCACTCCAAATCTGTCTAAAACAGCACGTGTTTGTTCCTTTAATGTCATTAACATGCTATGATCAAGTTAGATGTAGCTTCAAAAGCCATCTGACACCCGTAGCATCCTGAGATGCTCTGACTAACAGTACTTTGTAAGCTATGAGACTGTGCCAGATGTGCCGCACCACACTGATGGTGCTGTGGGTGGACAAATCTGTTCCCCGCTTATTCTCTCTAATTGGTCTTTGCACTTTTTTAAGGGAAATCTCAAGCTCTAATAGGCAGTGTGTAGCTTGTTTGTCTGTAAATTATTTTATCTTAATTTTAAGTTTATCTTTCATTTTAATGTTGATTTATTTTAAATAATAAACATTATTTTGTGCAAGTATTATATATGGCTTAATTGATACAGAAAAGAAAGTCGTGTTATACTTGCAATAGTGCTGTTGTACTGAATATTCACCTGAGTGGATTTTCTGTGGCAATGAGCCTGAAGCCTCATATAACAGCACTAAAGCATTAACGGTGATCGCAGAGTCAAATTGTCTGGAAGTCATTCATTTTCAATAAAAATTGGCAATCTGAGGTGACATGAGCAACACTGTTTAGCAGACTTTAATTTATGAAAATGGACAGTGACACAATGTAGTGACTATCAAAAGAAATGAAGACAATGTAGCGCGCATAATCCAATCAGCAGTGATTTGGATGTGGATTTAGCTTCAAAGTTGTTTCTGCAGTTCTATAAACATTTCAAAATCTCAAAATAGACAAGAATATTCAAGAATGATGACAGAGCAAAAGATCATCTCAAATCATCATGGAGATGTTCCATGAGGGAGTTTGAAAAAAAGTAAGAAAAAGAAAACGGAGCATGAGGGGAAATAGTGAAAGAGAGAGAAAACAGAAATCATCCTCACAGTTCTTCCAGATAGGGCAGGTTTCTGAAGACATTAACAGGCAGCTCAGTGATGTTGTTCATGCTGATGTCCCTATGGAAACAGAAGAACAAATGCTCGTAGTCAGTGGTTGAGCAGTACCCTTTCTATAGGTTAACACAACATAAACAACTTACATTTGCTGTTTGGATGCATTTCTGTTTGGATTTACATTTTCTGGTTCACATTGTTTACATTGACTGCTTCACCATTTTGCATGGAAGAGAAGAGATCACGGATGATTTCATACTGTGATTTTGCTTGCTTTGGGCTTGAGCTGACTCACCAACATAACTAAAACTGGCCATGTGCAGACACTCATTTCAACCACAGCTTTCTATTTTCTAGATTTCATGGTCATATCATGATTTATTCAAAGGTGCTCCCTCTCCAATCCAAAAACAGCATTTATTAAAAATAAACTGTAAAAAATGGGCATGTGAAACTGCAGAAAACAGACATGTAGTATCTGAAACCTCAACAAAAATTAAAAGCTTTTTTTTTTAAAAAAAAAGGGGCATAACACACAGATTCTGCCAATCTCATGTTAATCTTGAGTACCTATATCGTAGTATTGCATCCTTCATATCGCCGAAGGTTATCTTTCCCTCACAACCAAAAACACATTTTTTTGGTGACTGTTGAATTTGTGGTCAAAAACAAAATGTAAAATCCTTCTCGAGCAAGTCCTGTGCAGCACTGCCGATGACTTCTGTAACCTGAATAAGGCACGTTGATGGGGTGCTCTTGCTCTCGCTCTGGTTGATGTGTGCTCGGGCTCTTTCGGGAGAAGTGCCCATGCAAGGAATTCCACCCTTTATGATGTCATACAAGGCCATACTCAAAAGAAAAAAAAAAACTTATACGAACCCTGAAGGAGTGTATTTGGCACAGAAATACTCCATCATATGTCCAACTCGTAATTTGAGACTTTGGTCATGTTGAGCATGAGAATCCTACTCCTTAGAATTCTGAATAAGTCAGAATAGCATTAGACCTCCCCTTTAAGTATATTATTATAGTGCTGTAAATGTATAAAATATAGTTGGCAACAAATGGAAAAGAAAGAGTAATGACCCCTTTAACGCAACTCAAAATAGAACTACTCAAAAACCTGTCATGAAGCAACATATATTTCTATTTGCTACATTTCTTTGAGCGGTCCCTCTTACAGCTGATGTTCATGCTTTACAAGTCCAAACAGAGATCTGTATGTCTGTGACGACTGATAAGACCTGAATCCAGATCAGACAGTGAGATCAAGCATCACACAACAGTAATAGAAGAAAGCAAAATCTATTTGATGCCATCAGCACTGCACTATGGTGATTTACTTCTCATCATGCAAGTATGACATCAGAGGCTTACAAGTGTTTGGCTGGGAGATGATGATTTCAAAAGCAGTAAATGTATGAATTTCCAACCTCAAAATTTTCACACAGACAGACAGACAGACGCAGACGCGAACGCGAACACACACACACACACCCATGTTTACTTAGCTATCTAAATGGGGACATTCCATAGGCGTAATGGTTTTTATACTGTACAAACTGTATTTTCTATTGCCCTACACCAACCCTACCCCTAAACCTACCCCTTACAGGAAACTTTCTGCATTTTTACAATTTAAAAAAAAAAACTTTGTTTACTTTATTTTCATACCAGTTTTACAAACGAGGACGTCCCCAAAGGGAGGTTTTTGGAGATTTTGTCAGGTATAGCTCACTTTTGGGTACAAATTTGTCCCCAAAATATGGTTAACTACACACACACACACATATATCCTTATTTCCCATCATCCACTGTAATCTCTGCCACTCTGCCTCTTAACCTCTGATCTACACAACTGCCATCAAATTAAATAACACACATCTATACATTGTGCAAATATTTTGTGCAACCGCTGCTGATTTCTGGACAATTTCTGGATAATTTAGTGGGTTACACATTGAGTATTACCACATTAGGTATATCCCTTTAATAACATCCATGAATTTTAAAACGGTTATTGGGAACGGGTTATTGAAAACTATTACAAACTTGATCATCATGAAAGCTAATTTACATCTAATGAGATGGATCATATTCACACTGAAATGTATTTACGCAGAAACTTCAAAGTGTACACTATATACTATACAGCTAAATAATCTGAATTCAGTTAGATTTCTGAACAAAAAGTGCTGTTTGTATGTCTGTCACTATGTATACGTCAAGCCTGCCTGACAGATGTCTTTTTCAAACAATGTTAAGTAGTTATCATGTTGCTTCACAAATATGATGTTATGTTGCTTCACAAATATCATGTTATCATGTTGCTTCACAAATGTGTATAACAGAGTTTCACACAGCTTTTTTTTTTATGAGATGCATGCTGCTCTTTTCTATACAATGAAAGTTGAAGGTGACCGGGGGCTTCAAAATAATTGTATGGGCTTTTTGTCAAGATTGATAGCTTATCTTCACTCACTTTGATTGAATGGAAAAGAGTAACATACATTTTCTGCTAAACTGCTATAGAAAAATGAAAATCATTCAGTGAGTGAGAGTAAGTAAAGAATGGTGAACTATTTCTTTAATGGTAAAATTCTCTAGGTTTTCCCTCATTCTATTTTTCTTCTCTTTAAAACTATCTATGTCCCTCCTTTTCTCCTTAAGGCTCCGAAGCTCTGAGCATAGAGAGAGAGAGACAGAGAGAGAGAGAGAGCGGAGGCTGTCAAGGAGACGGAGAGATAGCATGTAGCAGCATGACAAAAATGCAGGCAGTACACAAAGTGTTTTCCTCTCTCTCTTCCTCTTTTCCATTTGGGCTGAAAGGTGAAGTGTGTGGGCAGCAAGAAAAGCAAATAGTAGATCCGCAGCGAGAGAGGTCAGAATACTGACCTTAAAACACCCGCCGTTAGAGACGCCACAACACAAACTCGCAGAGAGGAAATGAGAACCAGTGCATGTAAATCATAACAAGTGTGTTTTTATGTGACATTCTACTTGTTATACATCTCAGGCCTTTTGTTTATTTATTGTACCATATTCCAGCAAGAATTGTGTGTGCATGTTTCTGTCTTTGTTCTGGAGGAGATGCACTGAAGCCTGGGCAGGTTTTTCAGCTCAGACTGAGATCTTGATTAGGAATCCATATATGCAGCTTCAAAAGCCAGGCCGCAAACAGTAGACATGGAGACTGGGTCCGATGGAGCCCAACAAACATGCTACAATAGCTAATGAGGCACATCCCCACCCCTGAAGGAAAAGAAAAACAAGGAGAAGATATCGTCCGCCATCTTAGATTTCAATGCAAGGGCTGTCTTGAGAGCATATATATGAGCACGAGGGACTCTGGCCACACTGTGTATCAGATTACCCCCCAACCACACACACCGAAAGGGGCCTCCCTACCCCCCCTGCAGCTATGACCTTCCATCGCTCCGCTAACTTTTTTTTTTTTTTTTTGTGGATCCGCAGGTTACCTGCCCTATCCAATTACCCTTCAGGCTGCTTTCAATGGACCATGTACCACCAGAACACTCCCCTTTCTCCTCTCATTCCTTATCACTCACTCTTTCTCCCTCTCTTTCCCTCTTGGTGGTGTCCCTGGGCCCCTATTTGTGCAGCGGTCCCGGTGGTCCTCTGGATACATTATGTATTACTGACAGTCCTGTTCCTCCTGTACTCACACACACACACACACACTCCTCCACGCCCGTAGCCTTTCGCCCTGCTGCAAACTCTCTCAATCTTTTGGCTGAGGTGCCTGGGAGCAGGATGAGAGAGAGAGAGAGAGAGAGAGAGAGAGAGAGAGAGAGAGAGAGAGAAGACTGTGTGTATGTGTGTTTGGGTCTGTGAATGTGATCTCTATCCCCGAGTAGCAGGTTTCCTCATTAGGGGCCAGGGGCCGCACTGCAGTGACAAAGACAGGGACGGAGACAGAGGCCTACTGGAGCCGTTACCGGTGGAAACTCTATCCTATGAGACTGATAGCGTGTGCTCTTAAAGAGTGTGTGCATTTGTGACTGTGTGAGACCAGTTCTACTGCATTTATGTTATGTTTAAATAAAGCATAATTACTAACCTAAAAGGTGACGTGTCTCATTTATATGGTAGCAAACTGAATTGCAAAAATATTGACAAGTATCAAACTTCTATTTTCTTATACAAATCACAACCTCACAATTAAAACTTAAATGTAAAAATGTCCCGTTCTTACCTTAAAGGGATAGTATACCCCAAAATGACGATTCTGTTTTTATTTACTCACCCTCAATTTTTTCATCTGTGGAACACAAAATAAGATGTTTTGAAAATTTGGTGGTTTTTCAAAATTGAGTCAATGGAGTCTAATGTTGTTTGGACTCCAGCATTGTTCAAAATATCTTATTTTGTGTGGTGCAAAAGAAAGAAAGCCATACAAAGTTGGAAGGTCATGACAGAATTTTCATTTTTAAGCAAACCTGTCTTTTAAGGAGCTATTTCTACTTATTTCTAGTCAGATTAATTAATATCAATTAGCAAAAATTACAGTCAAAACTTATTTGAGCTGGTTTGAAAATGTTAACATTTTTGTTTTAAACATGAAGGACAGAAATATACTGTAATACCTGTTGGGTATTGTGAAGGTGAAATGCTGCAACATGCTCAAACAGTCGAAGATTTCAGCTTGCAAAGGCAGATACAATTTGGCATTGTCAGTAAAATAGGACTACAAATAAGGACCACCCCAAGCGCTACAGATGGAGCGTGACTGAATGGAAAATGCATACTACAAACATGGAAGGAAGAAGAAAAGCCTTGTTTTAGGAGAGCTCAGGAACATGTCAAGTCTCAACAGAGCACTGCAGATTTTCTGCCTGTCAGTAAGAGTAACAAAAATAGAGCAGGAAAGAGACAGAAGCCTAGTTAAACTCATGCTATAGGACAGAGAACATTGATTTATGAATGAAAGCCTTATTTTCTATCAGGATAGAGTCCTTCCCTTTTACTAAAACAACATTTATTCTTTCAGAGCTTAACATAGAATGCTCTCTCTCTTAATCACTCTGAAAGAAGCACAACAA